CAGGCCCCCGCCCCCGCAGCAGAAGGTTGTACCTCAGGGAGCGCCGCCATCCCAGCAGAAATGTTTACCTCAGGGACAGTATTTCCCTTCCCGGCCGGCACCTTTGCCTCCCAAATAGCTTTTGGCTCCCTTGGGCCCTTCACGTGAGCTGACCTGTTGGCTGCCACRGCTGAAACTGCAGTTCCCCTTCTGGCACCCTGCTGCAGCCTGGGACAGGGCAAACGAGAAATCCAAACCAGGAATGTACAACTTCACACTAAACAAATACCTCGACCAAAGCTCCAGGGACTGAAACACCCACCCCGTTCCTTGCTCTGTCCAAGCTTTGCCGCTGCCGCCACGCTGGCAGGAGTGCAGCAGCCTGCAGGGAAATAGTCCTGAAATCCAGCACGTGGGAGTTGCTTTGGGTTTCCCCATTTCTGCCATGAGCCCCGGTAAGGAAATTGTGATTTGTTGTTGTGTCTCTGACTGTGCRGTGAGGAATTGGAGTAACCTGTTTGCAAAACAAGGAGATCTGGTCAGTTAATTCAGTTACTCTGCATGGACTGGAGAGTGTTTCCCATGTACACCTTGATGGCACAAATTGAATGAGGTCTCAGTGGACTTTTTCAGAGGAAGAGAGATATATTTTAAACATGTTTATGCATGTATATATGTTTATAGATGCATAATAATGCACTTAAATTCTTAACTCCATGCTGACTGACACTAAGCTGTGCTGTAGGAGCACTGAGTTTAATGCTTTTTAATTAGAGGGTGGCTAAATGAGACTCCTGTACTAATTCCCACTAATACATGGATGGGCAGTGACGATAAAGGTACGAGAAGACACGGCCATATTCTGGTTTTAAAAAATGGGGTGCTGTTAGATTTTAATTCAGGTCTAAAGACAGAGCAGCAGTCCCTGCAGAGTGCTGGGAAGTGTCTCTGCTTGGACCACCAGAGTTTCTCTGAGCACTTTAAATGGGAACCTGGTGGCTGATGCACCCCGTCTTTTAATTTCCAGACCTTTGTAGTGTCAGTCAGGATGCTGCTGGGCTATTGTGTGTCGGACTGAYTGCCCTCTGCTCCTGCACCACGGGTTAGACTGGGTTGTGAAACTCCTCCTGAGCAGAGGTGCTCAGCATCCAGTGTGTTGGGAGAGGGAGCTGTGGATCCTGATCCCGTGGTGCCATGAGTACAAACTGGATGTCGTGGTYGCAAATAGAAATCTGTTGCACAACTTGCTAAAAGTGAGGTTCTATTGCACAAACTTGCTAAMAGTGAAGTAAGTGCTGAAAAGAGTTCTGGGCTGTTTCACTCTGTGCTTGCCACAAGCACAGCTCAATCTGTAAAATCCCCTAATATTGCCAAAAATAATCTTTCCTCTGTATATACATACATAAATATATATATAGTGTGTGCAGTAATAAAATACTTGAACTCCTGTGGTTTCCCATAAACTTAGATTAAGATTTATAACACAATTAAAATCTGTAAAATGTCACCTAGAATTTCACCAACTGTACTGGTGGGGGGGTCTCCTTTTTGTTCCAAGATAATCAGTCACTCCCTGATGTTGCTGTGTCCTGCTCTGCCTGGGCTGTCTGTCTGTCTGTCTGTCTGTCCCGATGAGCTCTGCAGCCAGACTCAGCCATCTCCAGCCCGGTCAGAGGGTGGGGAAAGAGGAGGGGATCCAGGGAATGAAGTCATCCAGAGGGATGTACTTAACTGTGTGTGACACGCTGTGTGTCTGAACTAAACTGCTGAAAATGGTGCCTTTCTAGACAAAGAGTTTTTGTACTCGCAGCGTGCACGTCGGAATAGCCGCAGTTGCCCAGGGCAGGGATGCGTGGTTTTAAAAGCGATCACGTGGACAGGAAATAACGCCAGGTTTTGGTGTTGAATACTGAAGATGACTACTGACTTTCTTTTGTAAAGTGTACGGATACCTGTCCCCTGGCAGGGCCACCGTCCACACCCACGTTCACCTCTGTGRCCGGCCCGTGCTGGTCTCTGGCCAAAGGGCTGTTCCTGACCCGTTTGTACAGACCCAACGAGCAATAAAGATGCCAGTTTTGTACAAGGCTCTGCCTCAGTCTCTGCTTTAGGGGAGGGAGGGTTGTGGCCGGTGGGACTGTTACCTGTGGGGCAGTTACTGGTGCTCTGTGGGGCAGTTACAGGGGGGCAGTTACTGGCCGGCCATGGGGCCACTTTGTGCAATGCCACCACTGCTGCTCCTGCTGCTCCTGGAGCTGCTGCATGAGGCCGGGCAGGGTCCCCCTGTGCCCCCCACTCACCAGGACTGGGCTCGGCCATGGGGCTCTCTGTCCCCTGTGGGCTGGAGGGTTTGGTCCCAGGTCACCATCCCGCAGCAGCTGGGGATGAACACAACAGGAGYGGCGGGGCTGCAGCAGGCAGGGAGCTGGGGTCTCTGGGGACGGGGGGACAAGGGAGGGGGAGAGGGGTCTGCAGGTGCAGAGGAGGGCTGGGGAGGTCCAGATTGGTGGCAGCTGTAGCAATGTCACCACGGCACAGGTGCCAGCACTGTGATGTATTTGGTATTTGCAGCAGGCCTCGCACTGTGCTGTTCCCAGCTCCCTGTTGCTAATTGTCCCCTTCTCTGCTCTTTTGTGTGCACAAGGATGCAGTGTCCTACGTGCTGAGGATTGAGGGGAGGCCGTACACCATCCACCTGCAGCAGCAGTGAGTTGGCCCTGACATTGCCCTCACTGACAGCAGCTGCCCTGCTCCTGCTGCCTGCAGGACCTGCGAGGAGCTTGAGAAGCTCAGGGTAAMGGATGTTGTTGTAAGTGCCTCACTTTGCACCTTTCTCTTGTAGTGCCTTTCTATCTGATGATTTCCAGACGTACATGTCCAGTGAGCAGGGATCTTTGCACTCTGATTCTGCCCCCTTTGAGGTAAGGTGGCCTTGCTTTGGGCTGTTGGTGTGCCCAAGGCAGCCGGGGGTCTGGGTGCTGGCTGGGGGATTGGAGGGGGCTCCCTGTGCTGCTGTTTTGTAGGGAGGCTGCCAYTACCGGGGTTACATCGAGGGCTCCCCCAGCTCAGCAGTGACCCTCAGCATCTGCTCAGGGCTCAGGTAACGTGCCAGCCCTGTCCC